AAAAAAAAAAAAAAAGTCATGCGAAATTCACTTGCAAGACAGTGTGGAATGGCTATCCACCCCATGCGGGAGCATCAGAGAAGTCTGGGCACAGCCCTGCCTTCCGACCATTCCTCCAGCCAAGGAAGCAAGCCCAGGCGGCCGGTCACCCACTTCTTAGGTTTGAGGCCTGCCCCCAGCACTCTCAGGCCAGGGTCGAGGCAGACAGCCCCACAAGTGCAGCCTTTCGTCAGCGTCCCCTCCTCTCAGGACCCTGCCACCCGCATGCCCGTGCCTGCTCTGTGGAGCCCACACGGAGTCCTTACATCAGCCTGGTCTTGCCTTCCGAAGTACATGTCTGAAGAGATCGCTCTGACATTGCCGAACTTCTTCTGGGCCTCATCTGTGTTTTCAGCTGGCACGCAGTCCGGCTTGCGGCGAGCAGCGGGTCTGAAAGGGAAAAAAGCCACAATGGGTTCAACTAACTGGAGCCAAGCCAGAAGCCCTTCTCGTTCGTAATGCAAACATGGGCCATTTTGCTTTTAAAAAATCAACAACAGGGATTTTGTAAAAGGATTTACGGGCACTTTCAAAAGCTTGAATATTCTAATAAAAAATAAATAAATATCCAAACCACACTACAATAATTTTTTTTTTCCTGTTTCAAATGAATCTGTTATTTTAAATTTCACTTCCATGGGTTAGTTAGTAAGTACTGAACACACATTTGTAATATACCTAGGACACTACTGTACGTCGTCATGCAGGACATAAAATGAGTAGGGTGACCAGAAATTCCAGTTATCTGAGACAGTCTCGGGCTATGTCTGTTGTCCCAACAGATGAGTGGTGCCCTCTGAGCCTCTCAAAGTTCTCTAGTTTGGACAGTAAATTGCACAGTTCTTCATGGTGCTTCTCGGAGGGAAGTTTGGGCAATCTATTTCCGTAGTGACACTGCCTCGGCAACCCAAGGAGGAGTCGCTATGAGCCGGGTCTGACTCGACAGCACACAACAACTCATGGTGCTTACAGAGCAGCTATTTCCATCTAAACAAGGGTTCCCAGCCGGGGATGCACATCACAGCCTGTGGAACTTCCCAAGAACGACACACCCAGATTTTGCTTAGGGTGTGCAAAGAACGTTGGTTGCCCCACACCTACCAGAAAAACATAA